TTTTTGGTTATGTTGTTTGAGTCGAATTTGATTTTTCCCTACTTGTTTGTCATCTGAAGTTTTTCCCTTACCTTAGAAAACACTTCCACTGTTGCATCCTCTAAGCACTCTAGCAGCAATTTGTGGTACTTATGTGTCTAATAGGCACTTATTGATGGCTAATTACTTATAGTTTGATTAAGAGAAGCAATTCTGGGAGAACATCGTTTCTCGATAATAGCAAACCACAAGATGTTCCTAGCCATCCTTGACAAAATAAGAATCATATTTATCTATGAATCTTCAATACACCTGCAATAGCTGCGTGTTACAGCAAGCCGCCAGACCTTCACTTGTGGAAGATAATTAGATTAAAAATACAAACATAATTTAGCATTTTTCCTCTTCCACTATTTAGGCTTGGAGATATTTTACCTGAAACAGTGGACTCAAACACAGCAGCAAATATGAGAATGACACAAGATAAGACAGTGTTTCACTCTGTGGTACACAGAGTCACTTTAAGTTGGAACTAACTCGATGGCCTCTAACATCAACAGTTTTTACTTTCCTTTGATGAAAATTTTAGGTCTATAAAATCTGAATAGTCAGCTTCCATCTTCATTTTTCATACTTCATGGTAGCACGCCCTTTATGTTCCAGTATAAGTGAATAGTTGTACTATAGAGAGTAATGGCAGAGCTGCCAGTTATAATTTTCATTTTTATTAAAGCGTGGCAATATAATTCCGTTGGGTCCCTGTATGTACTTGGCTCTTTAGCCCAAGGAATCCAAACATGTCACCCTACATATCACAACTCAGTGGCAGGAAAGATAACTGACAGCCATCACAGTAAATTTTTAGGCAATATGATTCACTGCTCAACCGATGTTCACTTGAGGCCAAATCTTAATTTTAACTCTGAAGTATAGCTCCATATTTTCAACAACAAATGAACCTTCAAAGCGAAAATTCCTGGTAAAGTGACAGTCTCATAATGCAGTGTCTAATTTTACTTGGCCAGCTCCCTGATTTATAATTAAATTGAAGGCACACATTTAAAGATAACTAATTATTTCATTTACTGGCCTATATTAGATCTAAGTGTCTCTATTATGGTGGCATACTCATGCCCCTGTAATTTAGATGATGTTGGCAATTTACCTTAAAACTTCACAGTTTTTAAACCATAATACAAATCTGCTTGGAGTTAACAATCACCTTTTTTTTTTTTTGACAAGACTTCTCTAACAGAAAAAATAGACGATTTAACTCAAAACTACTTCAGTCAGATTATTACGTTTTTCATTCACTATAGTGCTTGATGAGGAGTCCTGGTGGCATGGTGGTTACAAGTTGGGCTTATAGCTGCAAGGTCAGCAGTTCAAACCATTGCCTGTTACTCAGTAGAAAAATGAGGCTTTCTGCTCAGGTATGTATGTTTACAGTCTCGGAAGCCCAAAGGGATAGTTTTACTGTCCTATAGCACTGAAGTTAAAAAAAATTTATGTAGCACTTGGTACTGTTTGTCTTTGATGCACTTCCCTCTATATCTTACCTAAGAAAATAACTTTCGATGCTTTGGTTTAGAGTAGCTTTTTAAGGTTAGATTATAAAGCATCATTTCTTTGTATCAGTATGACATTGTGTCATTTAGTCATTAGTTGACGAATGTTTGGATTGTTTCTAACTTTTGGCTATTTTGAATAGCTGTGGATACAAGTTTTGGGGTACAAGTTTTTTTTTAATTAAATACTTTTATTGGGGGCTCTTGCATCTCTTATCACAGCCCATACATTCATCCATTGTGTCAAGCACATTTTGCACATATGCTGCTATAATCATTTTCAAAACATTCTCTTCCCACCTGAACCCCTTATATCAGCTCCCAATTTTCCCCCTCCCTCCCCCACCCTCCCTCCTTAACAAACTCTTGATGAGTTATGGATTATTATTTCCATATCTTACATCGCCCCTCACCTGCTTTTCTGTTATTCGTCCTCCCGGGAGGGAGTTATAGATTGATCCTTGTGATCAACTTCCCCTTTCTCCCCCCACCCTCCCCTAATCCTCCTGGTATCTCTACTCTCATTGTCGGCCTTAAGGGGTTTATCTATCCTGGATTCCCTGTGTTTTGGGCTCTTATGTGTACCAGTGTGCATGTTCTGGTCTAATTTGATTTGTACGGTAGAATTGAGGTTATGATAGTGGGGAAGGAAACACCGAAGGACTAGAGGAAAGTTGTGTGTTTCATTGGTGCTATACTGCATTCTGACTGGCTCATCTCTTCCCTGTGACCCTTCTGTGAAGGGATGTCCAATTGTCTAAAGATGAGCATTGGGTCTCCACTCAATGCCCACCCCACCCCCAATTCACATTGGGCATGATTTTGTTCTGGGTCTTAGATGCCTGATACCTGATTCCATTGACACCTCATGATCACACAGGCTGGTGTGCTTCTTCCATGTGGACTTTGTTACTTCTCAGCTAGATGGCCGCTTGTTTATCTTCAAGCCGTAAAGACTCCAGACACTATATCTTTTGATAGCCGGGCACCATTAACTTTCTTCCTCACATTTGCTTATGCACCCATTTTGTCTTCAGTGATCATGTCAGGAAGGTGAGCATCACAGAAGTGTTACTGTGTTGAGGGAGTACTTGAGTCGAGGCTCAATGTCCATCTGCAACCTTAATTCTTAACATATAGATTTGAGTATAAAGTTTTATTCCCCTCTTGATATATATATACACACACACACACATATATATGTTTACATAAGTGCATGCCTGTATTTAGACCTCTATAAATGTCTTTTGCCTCCTGGTTCTTTCCTCTATTTCCTTTGACTTCCCTCTTGTCCTACCATCATGTTCGGCCTTCATTCGAGATTTAGTAATTCCTTGCTGCTACATTGCCCTTAATTAAGCCTCACTAGGCATCCTATGCCCTTCTCTCCATTGATTTTAGTTCACTTGTTATTCCCTTGTCCCTGGGTTGGTACCCCACTCCACCCTCAACTTTCCTTTCTCCCACCTCCCCTTCTCCTGTATCCCCCTGGAACCATTGGTCCCATTCTTTTTATCTCCGAATTATTTATCCCACCTATCTTATCTAGATAGACATGCAGAGACAATAATTAGCGCAAAAAATAGGCAAAGCCAAAGAAAACAACAAAAGAAGGCAAGACCGACAAAATAATAACAACAAAAAGAAAGCCACTGACAAAAATAGAAAAGCCTATAAATAGCTCAAGATCTGTTTGTTGGCCTTTATGAGTGTTTTCCAGTTGAGTCTGATGAATTGCCACACTCTGTCTCCAAAGTTTATTTTTGGTATTTCATCACTTTGCTCCCCTTGCTGCTCTGTTGCATGCCCTTAGTGTTTCTCCCCAGCAAGATGGGGTCAGCTTGTGCACAATTCCCACACTGTGTCTCTAGTGTTGTCCTCCCCGCAGCACAATGGTTTAGTGAGGGACCATCGTGTTTCGTGGTGGGGCCAGGTCTATGGTCCTCTCTGTGCATTATCTGCTCTGAGCAGGAATATCGTTCTCAGGGCTTGGTGGGCCAGGATGTTCTCCACTCCCTCTCCATCCCTTTTCTTTTCTCCCATGTGCTCTAATCAGATACACCCCTCTCCCCAAACTAGCCCTAGTGCTTTCCTCTGAAGTGCATTCTTCTGGGGTGGGGGGTGGGGTCCACATACAGTATATCTCCACAGGAGAGGGAGAGAGAGGCAGGGCTTCAACCAGATGCACCAAGAGGTGAATACAACATACCAACATGTACCAGGGAACCAATAGAGAGGTCTGCAGGGCCAGCCCCAATTCCAACTACTACTGCTAAATTTAAGCATTGTTCAATAACCTTAAAGGAAGTGATGGTAAGGAAATAACCAGAATCTTGGAGGCAAATAAGTCTCCAACAGTGGAAATGGGACAGAGACTGACTTAAGACTACAGAAGATATTCTCCAAGATTAATCCATAACATTTTGGACTGCCTTCCAGGGCCCAAACCAAAGTAAGGGACACAAGGCCCTATCAGGGTAAACATTTACAAGACCCTAGTCCTAGCCCTGATGCCTACAGAAGCATCTGAACAAATAACTTCATCTGCCTTCCTCTGACTGTCAAAAGAAAGAACAGTGAGGATATACTTGTTTAATAAAAGCAGCAATTGACAGATACCACTGCTCTCTTCCATTACACAGTGGCATTCTCAAGCCACTTTCGCGTGCATTATATCATTGCGCCAACCAGAACTGCTCAGGGCTAGAAGTGCAGAGGGTATTATCTCCCCACGAGAGATGCACAAATAAGTTTAGGAAGACTTCAGGATTTGATCAAGTTGGCAGAGTTAAAATCTGAATTCAGACCTTCTGACTCCACTTTTGTCCTTATAGTACACCATACCCAGTCTCTCATTAAGGTTCTTCTTAGCACTCCAATTTTTATATCTATGTTAATTAGAAGTATTTATGAAGCCACAGTGATGGCTGTTTAATAACTTAACAAGATGACTTTGAAAGTGCCTGTTGTCCACTTACAAATAACCTTATTGAGTAAGCAAAACAGAACCTAAAGGAATTCATCTAGTGGTTTTCTTAATGCCAGGGCTTAAAGTTTTAGAAGACCTAAAACCATTTCTAAATGCTTATAAAACTTAAAAGTCATTTTTGTTGTTTATCTTGCTCTCAACAAAGCTTGGAAGCCACTGGAAGCATAAGTATAACTTTGCTAAACACATTAACAAGCTGGGATTAGGGCAGGGCTATGTAACAGAAAACCTGGGTTCTCTCTCCCTGTATTGGGAAGCTATCCAGAGAAAAGCAGGAGAAAATATGTAATTTGCTGTTCTTTTTCTGCACAGCCCTGCTTCTAACAAAAACTTTCTGACACTAGCAAGAAATATAATTTTAAGTGCCCACAGAAAGTTGCAATGGTGTCGCAAATGTACTTTTGTGGCTACAATAAATTAATATGGCAAGCGTTTGAATTACTTAGAAATGAAGAGAAACTTACCCCTTCCCATGATTTCTTGTGGCCTCTGGCAGGTCTCTGGATGATTAGTCCCTGCAAAAAACACAGCACATACACACCATCAGACTCTCAGAGGCTGGGTCGGTGCATTTACCCCTGTAAAGAGTTATAGTCCATTCAAACCCCATTCAAGCTGATATGGTCAATGTGAGATTTTCGTTTCAGCTCCAATCACACTCTAATCTTGTCTCCTTACATAAATGTTTTCTCTATCACAAAGATATCTAACCTCTGAGAACAGAGATATAGCATGGTGAAAACATGACTTTATGTCAAATTGCTTTTTGAACTTGTATTTCTAGCAGTAGTTTCTGCACTTGCCAAATAAAAATCCTAAAATTGGCCACTTTCTTAACTGTAAGGGACACAGTGATATTAATAAAAATTATGGATAAAGAGGTCAAAAGGCTCAATTTTAACAACCAAGCTAACATGGCATTAGCTTGCATGTCGCTGGCATTCCGTCAGTATCACTCTGTGACATATCCAACACTTTTTATATTGCAACCTTTCCCCCAGTGGTGTTAGCTCCCCTAATCCAGTTATTCCTAATGCAAAGAATTCCACAGAGTTAGTATTCTTAATAAACAATCTGAGTCAATGAACATGAAATAATGATACCAGAAACGTTGGAGAAACCAACCACATATTGCCAGTGCAGGAGAAACGGTGGGCATCAAGAAACACCACTTCTGTTTCCAAAAACCTAAAAGGCATACACACACACACACACTGCCCCCCC